TCAGAGTGGATGCGAGGGAGATCAGGAAATGGGAAGGGATTGGGTCACTGGGGCAAGTGGAAGGTTAGAGGAGGAGAGCAGATGGGAAACTTCTGCTCCCAGGAAGAAGGAGAGCACTGTAGAGCAGGCAGGGGGGAGAGAAGGTGAACTGAAGGGTTCACTGGAAGGTCTGGGACGGAGCTGCACCCCAGGACATGAGCAGGTGCTGGTAGAAGCTCCCCCTCAGGTTGGTGGACAGAATTGCATCACCTACCTCCTGAGAGGCATACTTAATTAGTGTTTGTAAAGAGCTTGGAGATCTTCACATAACTGCTATTCACATGCAAAATAATCTGAATTATGAAAAGCATCCCTCACAATGAAAATAAAAGGACATTGTTAGACCCGGATTTTGCAAAGGAGGTAGTCTTGCTGTGATGCTTGGTATTGAGCTAACCAGGTAAGTGTGTGTACACTGTACAGTCCTTGGTGTATAGAGCTCTGTAGTACAGTTAGGTTTAAGGCAAAAATTATCAGAGCAAAACATTCTCTGGCTGGCCAGAAGCAGAGTAAGATGTTCATTAGCATCTCCTTTCTCTACTTACAAATTTTGCAGGTGCAGCAACTAAAGAAAGGCACTTCACTTTATTCTTTATGCATTCCTACATTGCATATATAAGTATTAACACGTATCTTTTTATTTGGGATCTCTAGCCCAGTCATTGCTCACATCCCACCACTTGCATATGAAGTTGTCTGTAGAGTGTCAAACTCTCTTCACTTCAGGAAAAACAAACAGCTTCATCCAGGTCTGGAGCTCTGTAAATCAGCCAGAAATTCATACTAAGAGACCATTGTGACTACAGGCCTCCCAAGAGACTTGCAGATGCTATCTCAATGACAGCCCAATCCACCAGGGATCTAGATCTATGGTGTTGTTACCAAATCTCTCATGGCGTAGCAGAAAATGGACTCGGTTTATACACAACTTTTTAGCCAGTTAAGTCAATTAACTTTTCATACCGATGCTCTCGGTGAAAAGCTTTTATAACACCACTAGAACGGACCTGTGAGCTGGTATCTGAAATCTCAGGTCTTAGGGGTGAGTGGCAGGCAGGAAGACAGAAAACAAAAGGAGTCTGGTCATGATAAGCCATACCTTTACACACCTTGAAACACATTTGTAAGTAGGCTCACGCCAGGTACCATCATTTACTAAAAGAGCATCAAGGATTGATGCTGTGTGTTTAAAGCAGGATATTGGAGCCAAGATACAAGATCTCATCTGGTATGACCATTCCTATGGACATGTACTATACTACCTTAAGCAAATTCTGAAACATTGATTGGCAAACTGTGGTATTTACATGATCATAAATACAGCAGGATAAGTAGCATTTTTGATTTACAAAGGTCTACCATCAAAGACTCAGACAGGCTATTGGTACTAAGTGAGGCAAGTTCTGGTTTCACAGAAGTCAATGGCAAAACCCTCATTGATTTCAAAGAGACCAGGATAACCTTGTCAGTTAAGATCATTTTGATAATAATAACGATAATGATTGTGATGCTGGTAAACCAGGTGCCAGCCCTTGCTAAGGCTGTAGGTGTCAGCTGAGCCAAATTCGTAGCTAGAAACCGAACCAGCTCACCTGTATGTTAATATTGATCAAGATGGTTGTTAAACTTCTAAGAATGTGTTTAATCTCTATAAAATGCTTGTAAGTTGCTGCATGCAGTAATCTTACTTGTAATGTCTGTATCCCATGCTGTAAAGTAGTATATAAGGTTTGGTTTAAAATTGTAAAATTGCCTGCTCTGAACTTGTGAACCAAGGCGGGAAAAGTGGTTCCCCTGTCCATGCAGAAGAACTATCAAGGCTAAATGGGCCATTGTGGAACATCACAATGCACAGACTGGTTTAATGGCCCTCTTACGCCCACAAAGGTGCTAGGTGCAAGAAAGCACATCCCATCAGCTTGAATTCAGAAAGAGGGAAATAAAGATAGCGGACAGGAAGATTTTTATCTCTTTGCTATTTGAACTCTTGCAAGGGCTGGAGCTAAGAAATAAAAAAAGCTGAGATCCCCAGGGTCAATTTGGCTTAGCTCCAAAAAGACGTTCAGTGCTGACAGATTCCTACATTTCTGTCACCTTTTGGAACCATAGAGTGAACTCATTTGTTTATATATACTACCTGTTTTAACTTGTAAACAACTCTCTCATTTCTTTTTCCTAGTTAATAAATCCTTAATTAGTTTACTATGGGATTGGCTACCAGTGTTCTCTTTGGTATGAGATCTAGGGTACAAATTGGCCTGGGGTAAGTGACTGGTCTCTTGGGACTGGGAGCAACCTGAATATTTTGTGATTTTTGGTGTAAGTGACCAATTATCACTAAGTCCAGCCTGTCTGGAGACTACATGGAGACTGTTTGGAACTACATGGTAAGACTGTTACAGTGATCCAGGAGTTTACATTTGTAACTGGGTTGGTGAAATCTAATTATAGAACATACCACCAGTTTGGGGTGTCTGCCCTGCTTTTGTCAGTCTGCACTGAGGTTGGCATTCTTGGTCATGAGCCACTCCAGACAGCGTGACAATAATAATAATATTTTACACTGGACTTCAGCTTCAAAGTGCTTGACAAACTTAGATGAACACTTCCATGAGATGGGTAACTAAATATTATTTAGCTTGATTCTCCACTGTGCTTAAGAGAGGAGGCTGATGGGGACCTGGTCATAACTTCTCCAGTCTCAGCCAACTGGTCCTGGTGTAAGTTGAAGCTGCACATCTCATCTTCTCCTCACCCCCTCGCTACCTCACCAGGCCCCCTGCCTCCTCTTATGTGAGACAATCTCTGGATGCTCCAAGTTCTCTTTGTGCCATGTAAAGCAGACTGGAGACTCTGTCCCTGTTATCTCCATTTTATACCTGTGAAATCTGAAGAAGAGACCTTTCTTCTTATGTGCCCAAGGACCCAGATGAAGTCAGAGTCAGAACCAAGATCAGAACTCATGAATTACTATCCTCCAGCCTGAACTCAGAACACAAGCCTTTCTATTGGTATTGATCCAAAAACAATGTTTGTTTCTGTGTTAACAGGATGATGCTGCTAATGCCCACTGACAGAACTTCATTAGTTCTTAACAAAAAGTTTTGCATCTTCAATCTTGCTGCCCCTACCTACGCTTGTAATGGGCTGTTGTTCTCCTCAACTGCTCCTTTATATCTCACCTCTTCCAGCATTCCTTCCTACCATTTTTCACCGTCACCAATCCCACTGCTCTCCCTTACTTGTACTATTGTCCCAGGGCTTATTTGCTTTGATAATTTAGGGCCAGTTCCTGGGAGGTGCAGAGTACCCTCACCTCGTATTGATGTCAGTGGTTGCGGAGGGTGCTCAGCACCTCAGATCTGCTTTGCTCTAGACAAGCCCACATCCATAATAAAGTGGGAACAACACACTAGAGCTTGAACAGCTTGTTTAGATAGAATTACAATATTCCCTTGGCAACCACTGACCCATCTCAGAGATCCCTATTTTGGGGCCAAGTCTTTGATCTCTTTTTATCCAGTCCATTTGATCCTTGAATCTACATTTTATGTGCTTTGATCCTACATTGTGGCTCAAGTGAACAAGCCCTTAAAATGGTGTATAATTCTTTTCCTCTTTATGCTGTTGCTGTGTATTATGAATTGAAGCAAATGGTATAAAAGGAGACAAGGGAGTATCACTATTTGGTGACGGGGCTCATTGCTAGGGTAAATACCATTTTATCGCTATCATTTAGAACTTACTGCAGGGAACATATTTCTTATCCTATTGATCAAGATTTTGGATATGAATAATACACTGACATACATTTTCCATCAAGGTATGTATATGCCTCCAACTAGTATATTTTTTCATGTGAATTTGACAACACATTGTAAATTGCTTTGAGGTAAATTCTAACCAATATCTGAATATCACTTAATTCCTTCTGATCCTTAGATTATCTTAAGAACAGCTTCTCCACCAGAGTATGTTGGTTACAGTTCAAGGAAAATACAGCATACGGAGATACAAAAAGAGGAAAATGCTAGCAGCAGATATCCTCCCATACTTTTTGCTTATAGAAATCCCTTTTTACTGCTTCAATCCATTAATTATTAAAAGGAAAAAAGGTTAAAGTGATTAAAGCTTTTTTTTCTCTGAGGTGTCTCTGGCAGCACTCAAAGGCTTAAGCACCAGCTTACAGTTAAGATGCTTTTACTATCTCTATCTCATCTCTTTCTGTATTCCATTATCTTTTCCAATATATTAAGTCACCGAGGAGGGGAGTAGGAGAGAAAGAAATGGAGAAAAAAGATTAAAAATACTGAGCACTATAATGATGCAAAGGAGACAATTAATAAAAGGAAGAAAGAGTGACATCATATGTGGCAAATATATCAATAATGAATTTTCCTTTAGTGGAAGCAGACCATGAAAAATATGCTCCAAAAATAAGTATGTAATAAAATACCTTGGAAGGTTTAGTATATACTAGTAAGACAGAAGCCTTCATTTCACAGATGTAGACATTATTATCAATGACCCCCTTTTCTCTAAGTGGTCAGGGACATCCTATGGACAGATCCCACATGGGGAATTGCTTCCACTCGAGAACCAAGCTAGTAAATAACAAAACAGTGATCCTGTTTATTCCTGGGGTGACTGTATTTTTCTAAACTTGTTCTGCCTATCTCTTTGGAATAAGGTTATCATGACTCATGGCAACCAATTATAACAGCCAGCGTATGAGAGAATTGGAATGAGGGAGCGAGAAATTAGTGGCCATATGTCATCTCATATAATGTCAGAAGTAATTAGTTTCCTACTGCTGACGCCATGTGAACGATCAAAGCAATCATCACCCATTTATGTCCTCCTTACTACCAGTCCATTAATTGCTGAAAGTGAGCCTTCTTAGCCTGAAATATCCAGACAGCTGCCAAAAGAATGAAAAAAGAAACATAATTCATTCTTACCATTAGCACACCAAAGGACCACCAGTCTGCACTCTGCGTGTGTCCTCGCCGGTTGACCACCTCTGGGGCCATGTACTCTATTGTCCCACAGAATGAATACGCTCTCTTGTCATGGTCAATGGCCTCCTTGCTCAGGCCAAAATCTAGACATATTTTGTAAATAGATAGAACTCTTGTCAGATCTTGGTTTATGATTATAAACATTATCTCACATTTAAACATCATTTTTCATTCAAATGAAACCCAACAGCTTTCGACAGAGATGCAGAATACTGAATCCAACTGAGAGTTGAATATTTACAGAAGTGCACATTCACGTAATGTGCAGTTTATGTGCACATAAGCACCAAAACATACTCAGAAGTTGGAAGTTACATTTGCACGTGGCTATACGCAAGCAAAATTCCTGCTTGCATGTAGGGATTTGTACCCTGAAGTTGGGCACATGCATTTTTCCACACACTTCTGAAGATACGTCCCCGAGATGGCAGAGGTAATTTGGATAAGAGAATATAGTTACACCAGTTGGAATTTGCACAGGACATTGGAGTTAACACCCAATTCTTGCAAAAAGTAACATGGAATTTCTAATCATCACAAGTGGACAAGCATGCAGTGATGCCCACACTGCAGCTCCAAGGCAACAAAGGGATGTCCATTCTAGGCATCTTTTGGTTGCAGTCTAATCTGGAGCTAGAAGCCATACCAGAAGGGTGTGTGGTTGCAGGGACTCCTGGGTTAGAAGTCTGGAGCTGGAAGCCACAGTCAGGAGCCCAATTTTATCTGGAAAATGGTACTTCCTGCATGCACAGGGCCCTTATGCTACACCAGGCCAATGGCTCAGCATTGACCAGAGGGAATAACGTCAGCTACTGAATCATCAATCCCACTTCCTGCAGCCCCTAGGTTTTCTCTAGCAACCTCGTTCCAGCTACTGACCCAAGATCACAGCTTGACGCATGGAAACCAATGCAGTGCGTTGGCAGGCTTGTAGAGATTAAGTTTCAGTGATCAAATGCTGTTCTTTACATACCTGTAATCTTAATGTGACCCTCTTCATCTAGGAGGATGCTGGAAGGGAAAAGGCAAAAAACAAAGAAGGATTATAAAGATACAAAGTACATTTAACAATAAAGAATAAAAAATAGTGAAAGAGGAAATATATACAAATTAAATATACATGTAGCCCGCCTCCTTCTTAGAGACTCCAGAGAAGAGAAAGATCCCCAGAAGCCCAAAGGTCTACATACCTACGTGCCTGAGACATGAACAGCCTATGCAGGCTGGATAATCAGCCTGACTGACAGGCCAAGGCAGCCAATTGCATGACTTGAATGTTTGGTTGGGACTGCCCAGACACACGATCTGAGCCCAGAGAGACCCAGTGTTTGAAGGAAGGGAGTTGACTGCAGGGTGTCTGCTTTCCGCAACAAGAGTCACAGAGCTTTCCCTGCTCTTGAAGGAAAGGAGAGAAAGGTGCACAGAGAACCCAAGACTCTTTGGTTGCAAAGTGATCTACAGAGTCTTAAAAGGGAGAAATAAGTGGACTCTTCCACTCTTGAAGACCAGAGGTTCTCTGAGAGTGGGCTACACACATTTTTACAGTGTATCATCATCATCAAGGGTCAAACAAAAAACAAACAAATAATGCAAGTTAGCTTTGAGGCTGCCATTCTGTTCACGACTCCCCGGGATGGCTCAATGTTGCAACAATCTCAGAAGAGAAGTTAATTTTATCACATAGGATTTAAGTGTCATGTAAGCCTGTGAACCAATAGGCGCAATGTGATAGGTTAATAAAAGAATGAGGTCATATCTCTTAGAGCTGCATGCAGAAGATTGAACCAACTGCATGGCACCACCTTGCCTTGGACCAGTTGGAGCACCCTTATACATCCAGGACTCAGTGAATGGAAAAGTATGAGGGAGTGGCCCAGAAATGAGATGTTGGAGGGAGGGAGTGTTGTCCCCTCTCTACCTCCAACATCCCATGGGAAATCTGCTGAAAAGGTAATACAGCCACAAGGGAGGATTACGCAGTTCTCATCTCCTTAGGTCCCTTCCAGTGAAATTTAACTCCAGAGGCCATGATCTGGTCATGCCATGAGTAAGTATGCTGAATTTCCATGCTTATATCAGCTTAAATTAGCCCATGAATATTGTTTATTTTGATGTCTTTCGGTTTTAATAGTAGAAGTAAATACATTTTTATTTTCTGAAAGTTAAATTTAACTCAGCACGCATAACAGATTGAAAGGTGATGGCAGACTGACTTCACTGGTGAGGGAACATAGTATAACTGTGGTAGTGAGACTGTGGATATCTACAAATCCAAATGAATTATTTGTCCCAGACTCAGTAAATAAATGCTGTGTCTTGAAGGAGCATGCTGCACAAGGGATTTATTTAGGGTGTTCACTTTATAAATTATTTTTACCACATGAAAACAGTAATATGGAGTATTTAATCTAATTGCTGATTCATGTGTTGAAGAAGATCTAACTGTTATCTCCTGACTGCTTGTGGTCCATAAAAAGATTCTACTGCACTATTCAGAACAGTAGGGATGTTAATACTAGTCTCTTGGTCAAATTCCAACATGGGTAATTGCATTTTACCCACCTAAATTTCCTTACTATACCAATTGGATCTGACATAATTCTTTACTTCCGGCCCTAAACTATTCTGTAGTGTTTCTATGCACGGTTGAATATATATTTTCAACACTGAAGGCAGCTCTCTTTTCAGTGATGTGAAGTGATTCCTCGTTATGTGATCGTAATATATTTCACTATTCAAAAATATTTGTGTGGAAAAACTAGAGATTCTTCTCATTTGTAGTGTGATTTTGATAACAGGGAAACATTTTCACTTTCCCCACTATTATAAGCAAGTTTTTTTTAGTAACAAATGCAAAAAAAAAAAGCAACCTTGGAGTTATAACCTCATGTTTTCATATTTGCTCCAGGCTAACATTTGCTGTTTTCACAGAAGCATTCTGACATGAAACATGAAGGCAGCCAGCAAAAATCACCTTTAGTTTTTGCGGAAACAAGAAAGAATGTTGAAACAGAATTGTGACTCATAACTGGTAAGGATATTAATTTTGTAGCCCTAATGTGGTCAGCACTCCTTTAATCAACAATTAGATTAAATATGTAAAGTTAGTAGTCAACCACATTGTCTCTCTTTATATTCCCATCCTCTCAGACCTTCAGATCATCATAATACATATAATTAAAAGAAAACATAATAGAAGCAAAACTGATACATTAGTATATAGATGCAGAAAATGTTGTCTTTATACTAAAACATAATTAAACAGAAGATCATCTGTAATGCATTTGTAGGTTGGGGACAGACTATTATAGAGTATAATTCAACATCAAAGGCTGACAGCTTAGTCACTATTATTGCTCACTAAGTAAAGGTGCTTCTTTTCCATCCCCTCCCACCTTCCTGAGGAAGCGTGATTTTTAAGCACTAGCCATGTAACAGGCATGTTTAAATACGCACTAGTGATAATCTTCTCTCCACAAGAGGATTACACTGAGGCGTTGGCTACACTTGCGATTTACAGCGCTGTAAAGGCTCCCCCAGCACTGTAACTCACTCCCCGTCCACACTGGCAAGGCATTTGCAGCGCTGTATCTCCGTGGTTGCAGTGCTGCATGTACTCCACCTCTCCGAGAGGAATAGCGAGTATTGCGCTGCCGCTGCAGTGCCAGTGTGGCCGCCCAATGTGCTGTGAATGGCCTCTAGAATTATTCGGCAGTATCCCACAATGCCTGTTCTAGCCACTCTGGTCATCAGTTCAAACTCTACTGCCCTGGCCTCAGGTAACCAACCATGTGACCCACCCTTTACATTCCCCGGGAATTTTAAAAATCCCCTTCCTGTTTGCTCAGCCCGGCGTGGCGTGGAGTGCTATCAGCGAATCTTTCCAGGTGACCATGCCTCCACGCGCCAAGCGAGCCCCAGCATGGAGCAATGGCGAGTTGCTGGACCTCATCAGTGTTTGGGGGCAGGAAGCTGTCCAGTCCCAGCTGCGCTCCAGCTGTAGGAATTACGATACCTTCGGGAAGGTATCAAAGGACATGATGGAAAGGGGCCATGACCGGGACGCCCTGCAGTGCAGGATTAAAGTGATCCACCAGGAAAACGCAGCGCACCGGCGGCAAAGCACCGCGCACCGGCAGCAAAGCACTGATAGGCTCATAAGCATCCTGGAGCGCCAAGCAGACGCTATCCAGGAGCTGGTAGCCATGCAGAAAGAGGAGCAGTACCGCAAACGCAAACGCCACCCCCCCCAACAGTCCTTGTCCCAAAACTCTTTCCGTTGTGCCCCACTGTCACCTCCAACCCACTTTCCCCAACTTCCGTGTTCTTCATGCCACCCGCTGCCTCCAACACCAGTATCTTCACCACCCAGCCCTGAAAACCACGACCCTTACCCTCTGCACTCAACCCCCATCACCATGAAGTATAGCTGTCCTGAAGTGCAGCACTCACTGCACAGCACACCAGACAGGACATACGCAAATCTGTGATTGTACTGTTCCCCACTCCACCCCCTTGTTTCTTTTCAATAAATGGATTCTTTGGCTTTGAAAACATTCTTTATTATTGCATAAAGTAAAAGACTCCTTAGCCCAGGAAATAAACAGGCACTGCAAGTCTGCTTGTCTGCTTAGCAGACACTGATTCCTAAAGATTGGAACTACTGCACTTCACTCCCGTGCAGGGCACCAGATATCACTGCTGGTTTTCAGCCTCAAATTGCTCCCTCAAGGCATCCCTAATCCTTGCAGCCCCACGCTGGGCCCCTGTAATAGCCCTGCTCTCTGGCTGTGCAAATTCAGCCTCCAGGTGTTGAACCTCAGAGGTCCATGCCTGAAGTGAAGCTTTCACCCTTCCCTTCACAAATATTATGGAGGGCACAGCATGCGGATATAACCGCGGGGATGCTGTTTTCGGCCAAGTCCAGCTTCCCATACAGAGATCGCCAGCGGCCCTTTAAACGGCCAAAGGCACACTCCACAGTCATTCAGCACCGGCTCAGCCTGTAGTTGAACCGTTCCTTGCTGCTGTCAAGGCTCCCTGTGTAGGGTTTCATGAGCCACAGCATTAACGGGTAAGTGGGATCTCCAAGGATCACAATGGGCATTTCAACTTTCCCTACTGTGATCTTCCGCTCTGGGAAAAAAGTCCCAGCCTGCATCTTCCTGAACAGCCAAGTGTTCTGAAAGATGCGTGCGTCATGCACCTTTCCGGGCCAGCCTGTGTTAATGTCAATGAAACGCCCATAGTGATCCACAAGCGCCTGGAGAACCATAGAGAAATACCTCTTCCGATTAACGTACTCGGATCCTAGGTGGGGTGGTGCCAGAATAGGAATGTGCGTCCCATCTATTGCCCCTCCACAGTTAGGGAACCTAATTTGTGCAAAGCCATCCACTATTTCCTGCACGTTACCCAGAATCACGGTTCTTCTGAGTAGGATGCGATTAATGGCCTTGCAAACTTGCATCAACACAATTCCAACGGTCGACTTTCCCACTCCAAACTGGTTTGCGACCGACCGGTAGCTGTCTGGAGTTGCCAGCTTCCAGATTGCAATAGCCACCCGCTTCTCCACTGGCAGGGCAGCTCTCAATCTCGTGTCCTTGTGCCACAGGGTGGGGGCAAGCTCCTCACACAGTCCCATGAAAGTGGCTTTTCTCATCCGAAAGTTCTGCAGCCACTGCTCGTCATCCCAGACTTCCATGACGATGTGATCCCACCACTCGGTGCTTGTTTCCCAAGCCCAAAAGCGGCGTTCCACGGTGCTGAGCATGTCCGTGAATGCCACAAGCAATTTCGTGTCGTACGCGTTATGCGGCTCGATAGCATCGTCGGACTCCTCACCCTCACTGTCACTTTGGATCTTAAGGAATAGTTCGACAGCCAAACGTGACGTGCTGGCGAGACTTGTCAGCATACGCCTCAGCAGTTCGGGCTCCATTTCCCGCAGACAGATCGCGCTGCACAGAAACCGTTGAAAGATGGCGCCAAAGGTGGACGGAAACAAA